GTCTAGTCAAACGCTTCTAGAAAAATAAATAAGGCCAATAAAATGTAGAATGAAAGATTAATTTATCATTATGTTTCTTCAGCTAATATTATTTTACGAATTGTCTAATCACCTTAAAGTGTTCTTCTATTCTCTTCATAATGCCTCTTATTTGAGTATCATTGGGATGGTTCTTAAACTAAAGCTTATGTGCCACTCTAGGGGGGATGCCCGAGGTCTGTATTCGGGTAATTTTTCATTATTTCTTTAAATAAGACAGATGACGTTGTTCTAAATCCCCGTGACAACCATGGAATCAGCGTTGGTGACGTAATTGAAGTTTTTCATCCTGAAGATCAGCATCGTGTGTTATTCTTAGTAAAAAATCTCAGGGAAGATTTTCAATTTAAAGGTTACGCTATTTTTCAATTATGTATTCAGATGCGATTAGCATAGAGAAGTCTCTTGTCCAAACTTTTCAGCTTCATAGATACAAGCCTGTGGTTGTCCGAGTTGTAAATAAGGAGGTATTTCGTTTTAGTTTTTTATTATAGCTTGTAACCCTTGATCTAGTCGAAGTATATTTTCGTGATCAATACTTTAGCCGAAGTGATTTTTATCGATTTTCAGAAAAGATGGTATACATCTGCATTACATTTGCTAGCACCTTAATTATTTAGAGAGGAAACGTGATTCATTTTAGTGAAAAGTTCGAGTTTAACACGATGAGGCAGGTTTTTATACGCATATTACTTTATTTAGAGGACAAATTGGAGAGCTTTGGCGTAAGGGAGACAAATATTCTTGTGGGTTTGTCGGTCCCGAGACCAAAGTAGATTTTGCGATTTTTAAATTCTTTAGGTTGTATTTCGATCAAACACTTCGGTCGTACATATTTTTATACAAATGAGTCATGAAATGTGGATCTTTGATGAATACGGTCATCTATATTTCGAAAAAGCCCTAAGCTTCTTAAATGAACTAATGTTTAACTCATGGATCGTAATTTTACTTTTATCTTGTAACTCTATAAAGGAAAGTAATTGCAATCACGATGTAACAATCGTTTTATTTTTACGGATCTTCATAAGTGCTAATGGTAACTTAAACACTATTTTTTGAAAATTGTGCTTATTTCTCGTCTGCTAAAGCGTACCTATTAGGACTAGACGATATTCTCGAAGAGTCATTTCACAAGGATTTTCATGGACGGTATTATGAAGATTTTTACAAGTAATGAAATTTTGATGTGATATGAACATATTTTGAAAAAATTAATTAATTATTTTGTCTTTTTAAAATAATTTCACTGATTAAAACCTTTTTTCGCCTTCAGAGTAATCCTTCAAAATGAACGCTTTGTTGCGGAAGAAAAGAAATCAGTTTTGCCTGAAATTAATATGGAATTTAACGAATTACGCTACAGCATTGTAAAGCATTTGCAACGATACTTCGATTCATCTCGAATGCCTACACTTCTGATATCATCTTCTATTGATGGAAACTTTTTGGAGACACTTAACATGGCCTTGAATCGTAAGCATATTTTAAAGTTTTTTTGTATTAGATGCTCTGTCAGTGA